AGGTTGGAAAAGACCTTTAAGATCATTGAGTCCAACTATAAACCAAGATCAAGCTGTCAGTCCTTCTGTGCTACCTACATACTGTTTTGGGGTTTTTTTAATAAGGGAACTAATCATGGGCAAGTTTGGAAGTTAAATGCCAGTCACAAGAATCCCGTGTGAGTGAAATTCCATCAAATTTCTAATCCTTTCCTTACACTAGTTTGTTTTCTCGAGTGAATGCACTCCCTCTGGTGGCTAATTTACTATCTCCATTTCACTCTTTTTAGAGTTAAGAAGCAGCTGGCTTAAAGAATTATGAGAGCAATGAACTACTGCTTTTATTAGACTAGTTTAATGTTTTATTCTCTCAGCACTGAGGGTGCATAAAAAGTCTGGCCCTTAAAATGTATTTAAAAATAATTACCTTTCATGGGAAAATATGAAGCTAAAAACACCACACACCCACACCCACACCCACACCCCACACCCCCCCAAAAAAAAAAAAAAAGAAAAGAAAAAGAAAAATCTGTTCAGAAACATTGTTTCTGAAAAGAAGCCTAAGCCATATTTTTATCAGGTAAATGTTCTGTTGGGTTCTGTGATCTGCTGTTTTAAAACCCAAGTTGGTCATTCACAAAAGGTAAATCGATGTGTCAAACTTCCTCTTATCAATTTCCTTTCAGGTGTCTATCTGTTACATCTCACATTTCAAGCTTTTCTGGGTAGAAAACTCCTTTTTCTGATCATAGCATGGTAGTCAGGGCAATAGATGCTATTGCCACCTTTAAAAACCCATAGGAATAACCGATGTGCTGGAAATCATCCACAAGGTAAGAAATCTCCACTCTTTGAAGGATAAACTTCTTTTGGATGTGGTTTGTATATCATCTGTTCACACAGGAGATTTATTTGCCAACACATTTTTATAGAACACTTATGGTTAAGCAAAGGCAGTGTTACAGTAGCAGTTATATAGTGGACACTATTCTGAGGCTAGAAAAAGTCAGCAGAAAGAGTATTTATTTACTTAATTAGCTGTCATGCTGTGTTTCAAGAGAGAGAAACACAAGCAGAAGCTGCTGCAAACTTGCACACCTGTAGGTTGATGTACTCCAACTCCCTGTAAGGTTCCTGCCTTATGAGAAAAAGCTGTTCCCGTTCTTGAGAGCTGGATTTAGATGCTGTGCTGATCCTGTCAGCACCATGGTGGATGGAATTGGAGCCTTTTCAGTATATTTGGAGCATGTTTAGTGAGGTCAAAAGGCAGAGACCTGGGGTGGCTCATTTTACTTCCTACTGTATCCTGCTTGATCCAGGTGACAGAGTGGCCTGGGACAGGGGTCACTGCTTGCTGGGTAAGAGAATGGGATCTGCAAAACCCTTCAGTACTTACAGAATTAGACTAATACTAATTTTAGAGGCTAATGCTGACGTTAGAGGCCAGTCCTATCAACCAGACTCTTTTACTACTGTGTCAAAAAAGATCCCTTGCTGACCATAGAACCTTGAAATACTCTAATTTCGTAATCTATAATGTCATCGTTGAATTTCTGTCATAATGCATTTAATTGCATGTCTGTTGCTGCAGTGCTTCAATTTGGGGAAATTTCTGTTTCCTTACTCAGGAAAACAGTTTACACTCTCAAGACCAAATTGCCAGCTGGAGCACAGTTCTTCTGCAAAGATAAGGCTCTTATTAATATCTGAAAGCACCATCATCTCTGCATTTATACTTTTGACAGTACGTATCTCAATGACAGCCATCATCACAGTCAGCTATCTCCACAAGATAGGTCCTTGCACCTAGCATGTGATGCTCTGAAGATGGCAGAGTGCATTGCTGTGGTAGATCTGTGGAGGAATGAGTTTACTTTGGACAAGCTACTGAAGAAAAAGTATGAAACGGATGACACAGAGAGATGGGACATAATAATGACTAACTTCAAGTAGCACTCACGGATCCCCTGCAACAGGTCTTTTGGGTTTTCAAGCATGGTTGTAGCTCCAGCCTGGTACTCAAGGACTTGTGAGTGCAACCTCCCCAGAAAGAGACCAGTGGGTATCTTTCTTTTTTTCCCCTCCTTTACATGGATTTTCTTCCTGAGAGGAGACAATCATGCTCCTGAACTGGTAGAGAGAGAACCATCAGCTGATTAATCCATCAGGGGACTGTAGTGATGTGGCTTTGTGTCATTTGACAGTCATGAACAGAAATTAGGAGATTCCCAGTTCAAAAAATTAATAGATACCAGAGTCTTTTCTACAAGACCTTGGATCATATGTATAAAATAACTTGGAAATCCTTTTCAATCTTCATTTATCCTCAAATAGTTTTAGTGTGGTCCTGAATTAGTACCTTATCTAATATCAGTGAAATGTCAGTTCTGTTTTGCATGCTAGTCTGATTTTATTGAAATTAATGATAACTGGATATTTCCCTCGATGTCTTATCTCCATGGTGTTTCAAGAGAATCTTGGGGTTTGGGATTTTAAAGTATTATTTAATAATTGTCTTTTGATTCTATGATTCTATGATCTCACTCTTAACTGTTGTAAATCAAAGTGGAGCAATGTGTACTGGACTGATAAAATGGCCTCACCAGGTAAAAACAGGAAGGAGACGACCTCCTCCTCCAATTTGTCTTCATGTTGCTCGTGATTTGCTGCTGGGCCTGACCTGATGTTTTAAAAAGTCTGTGTTTTACTAGCTATATTAAAATAAGGCACAGTTGGTATAGTTTTAAAAGTCACTAATAACTGAAAAGATCTCTTGGAGCCCTAATGATATATTTTAATCTCCTGACTTTTGCATATAGAAGAATTATTGTTACCATCTGAAAGAAATTTTGTAGTTTGAACTATGAAACCCAAAGTTAGTCAAATTGCAATGTCTTCGTATCAGTGCAAATTATTTTGACATTCGGAGCATATTATCACTTTAGAAATCATGTCATAAATATTACTATCCTTTTCATCAGTATAACATGACCGTTTATACTGATGTATGTCAGGATGAAGAGATATGACTTGCATTCATTTGTAACCAAATGTTCTTCTGCCCTATATCTTCATTAAGCTTCACCTTTTGTACTTGGGGGTGACAGTCCGTCTAATTTCAATCTATAACTCTAGAAACTAGACACTTGCTGTTGAAAAGGCAAAACCAGAAAAGCCTCAAATGGATTGTCCTCCTGGCATTTGTTTAAATCCTAAGGTGTCTAGTTAGTCCAACTTGCAGTGGGCTACAGCAGATTTTTTACGAAATGGGTATTTGTTTGACTAGAGAATGGACTTTTGCAGTTTTCAGCCCATTGAGTATAAAAGAAACTGAAGGTTGTACTCATTTCAGAAGATCTTGTAGCTGTAAGATGTTTCAAAGGAAAGGATATATATATGTCTGTATACAAGATACATATCTTGTAGCTCTAAGATGTTTCAAAGGAAAGGATAGGTAGGTAGACACATATATATGAGGAAAACGTCACTCATGGTTTTGTTACTTCTTTTCTGGCAGCCATTGTCATTCTCACGAAACTCATTCATACACCTGAGCAAAATGGATTCTGTTTTACACATGCAGTTAAATGAATGCTCTCACAATTCAGTACAAGCCTACCCTGGTTAGAAAAAGACTGTTGTGATTTATTTTTTATTTTACCTTTATTGTCTAAATATTGCTGTTCTCATCTCATTATTGCTTAAATGAGTGGGGGAAGAATAATCAATATTTGATGATATTTGGTAAAATTAGGGTAACTTAATCAGTTGAATTAATTTTAAAATACTAATTAGCTCTTTTCAGAAACATCTACATTTTGAGTCTTATCTTAAAGGTGAGAATGCTGGAAACTTTTGGCTAGAACACTTCAGAGAAAAGGCGCGGTCTTGCGTCTCGTTATATTTGCTTGTGCTTTTTGATGATGGGAGAAGAAAAAACTCAAACAACCAACAATTAAAACCCCCAGAAAAAACAACCTAACAGCTGCTTTTAACAAGATTACAGTCCTTCCCAGCAATGTGAAGGATTGAAAGTGAGTCAGGCTCCAGAATTCCCTTAAAATGCACGTGATTTAAAAGCTTTGCTTGAAACAGCTATTTACAGTTTAAAAGAAAAGTAAGAAAAAAACAAACAAACCCAGAAACCTGGGAGAAAACCCCCCAACCAACCAAACCAAGCCAAGAGAAACTTCAACCTTTGTATCTCAAAATTCTCATTTCAGGTGTCTTGTAGACAGTCCCTGGTTCCAGGTGATATCCTATGACCTACTGACAGGAAAGAGTTCACAAGGTCCCTTCCTCAAGGATTAATATTTGTAACAAGAAAGATATTTTAGCTCAGTCAAAAAGTAAATAAAACAAATAAGGACTCAAAGATAGGATTCAGCATCCAAGCCTTCTGATGATATTCTTGAAGCTGTTTTCCTCCTGTTGTGTCACAAACAGTCATTCTGTGTATTTCTGGGTTTTTTTCCAGATGATGAAATTAGTTTACCAGTCCACAGGGACTATTGGGATTGTGGCATTTTCTCCTGTTTGGGTTCCTGTAAAGGTGCCAAGGAGGAGATGAGATGAATCAGCAAGTATATGAAGAATAATCACAGCTGAAAATAAAGGTGTGTTATTTAGCTCTGGATTTAGGACTGTATAGCTTTTAACCTATCAAATAGATTATATACCCTGTAAAAAAGTAGCACGTTTCTTTTGCCTAGGAGCAACACAAAAGCAGGGGCTCTTGGATTCGGGAAGGGGAGCATAAACAGTGCCTTTCCTTCAGGGACAAAAGTGCCTGGGCTGTAGAAAGTAAAAATGCTCTGTTGTCCCTTGGTCTTACCAAATAAAACATGCAAAATAGCACAGCTAAGGAGGAAGCACCTAGTCCTAGTGCATCAAAAGCACCCCGGTTAGTTCAGCTGGGGCCTGTGATTTCAACACCACTTTAAATAGAAAATACTTTTCTCGTGGAAAATCAGCATTGCTGATCTTCATCTCTGCTGTAAGGTCAGGAAGGATCTGGGGCCATGAACCGAAACTTGCTGAGAAGTCATCCCCCAAGGGCCACAAGGCTCGTCCCAGCTCTTGGGCGGGTCTTCCATTGGGGGAGAGGGGTGGGAGGTCTCTGCACTCCTCCTTTTGAAATGAAGGAGCTGGGCACAGAGGCGAAGGCAGAGATGTCTCCGGTCCTCACCTGCTTGCTGGTTATCCTGGCGTGCTGCTCGGGATGCCAACACCATGCCTGCCGCTGCGTGGGAACAGTCTTCATTTGTGAGGAGAGCAAAGTGGTCCAGGTTCCCCGGGACATCCCTGCCAACACCACCGAACTGTAAGTAGGGAGAGGGATTGGTTGTGAGCAGCAGCGTTGCGCTGGCTCTCAAAACAAACTGCTGCTTGGCAAGCCAAGGGTTGGGTTCCTAGGGAGTCACTCAGGAGACTTGCACCAGCTGTTTGGAAAGCACAGCCCTTCCTCCGCTGCTCACTTAATTACTTCTTGAAACTCCTCTCCGTTACTCTAATTGTGCTCATTTTAAGAGCTCTGTTAAGAAAAGATTGGTACCTTAGAATGCAAAGCGAAGCCTAAATTTTAAACAAGCTTCCCTGGTGCTGTGACAGTAATCTGAAACATAAAGCCTAAGCTTTCTTTACAGCTTGTGTAGTGCAACTTGTCTGCCCCAAACAACCTGATGATGAGCCTTTGCATTTGTGCTTCAGGAGCTTTCTAAAAGGTTTGTGCTTGTTTGCCAAGCAGCAACTTAATGTTTTCTTCCTGAAATCAGAAAGGCATTGCAGAAAGGACTCTGATAAACATTCAGAGAGTTATCCTTCTCTATTATAGGAGCAGTTGGAGTGAGTAAACAATGTAAAGATACTGTCTTGCATTACTTGAGGAAGGGTTTTATCTATCTTAAAGCTTCTTTGTGTTTTCCATAAAGTAACATGAAGCTCTATGTTACATAAAGTAACATGAACTATATGACAGCTGTTTTCTGGGTCAGTAGCACAGGCGAGCAAAAGAGCTTAATACAGTGGCAAGTATTCAACTGTGCAAGCAGTTGTTTTCATTTTAATTTTTTTTAAAGCAAATTATATCCCCTCTTGCCTACACCCACAGCTGCCTGACATCATTATGACCTAAAGCAAAACCAAAAGGAGTAGTCCTGGATAAACCCTTTGATTTATAACAGAGTGGCAAGTTTGGAGGGAGGATGCAACAAAGAATGATATCTCACTAGTTGGAAAAATATAGCCCTATCCCAATGTTACACCCACAGTATACTCATGGTTACTGTCCCACCGTTCCTACGGCAGAAGTTTCCTTTCTTTCACAAGGAGTTATTATGCTCACTGAATAAGTAGACTGCAGTGAAAACTTGAGAAAAATGTCTGAATTAACCAGAGAAGGTCAGTAAAAGTGTAAATCATTCTGGCAACTAGAGGGAAAAATAATCCATCTGTGATTCAGGTCATCTAAATCCTGAGCTAACCGTGCTCCAGGCATACACTGCTAATTTTGTTTAATTTTGCTTTGATTGTTTCTTTAGATTACACAGTTACGGTTTGCCTTCTAGGGATTAAGCAAAAGCATTTTATAATTGTTTCTGCAAAGAAGCAGAGTTTTGTATCGCCCAATAGCACCTGTTACTAAAATGGGATTTGTTCACGGCAGATCCTTGTTAACTTCTTGAGGGTTTGTTGAGAATGCTAATTTGTGCATTCCTCAAGCATGAGTGTGTATTGTCTGAAACAGGCAGACTAGAATGTTAGTGTGACTGAAAACAGCAAACATCATTTCTTCTGGCAGCACTGTGCATGTACTGCGGTTAGAACCTCTCTACTTGACTCTCTTCTCACACCAGCTTTTGGGTCTTTGGGAAGCAATTCTGGTCTCATTCAATCAGTACAGCCCTGGGACAGATGTAGCATAGCTTAAAAATTTGTCCATGAAAACTATGTAGAGTTGCTTTGAATATACCAAATTGTAGTGCTACTGAAGCTAGATACATTAGCTGAAAAGCTATTAAGTGATAGATAAACCTCAGATTTTAGGTCAAAGGGGGATTCTAGAAGCCTTCCTATGCATCTCAGCTGAGTGCCCACCGGGGTGATTCAGGTGACTAAAATAGACCTTGCTGCTTCAGGTGATGTTGCAAATGGACTCTTGGTAACAGAAAAAGCTTTATGTTTCTTCAGAAAGCCTCAATGAGTCAAAAAAACCATCTTAAAATCAGACTATCAGCTCAAGCATGGGTGGTCACATTGTCTGAGGACCCTGTATAGGATACAAGCAGAGACATCTTTTTGCTAAGTACAGCTCCTGTAAGGTACATTTTTCACTTAAGAGCTCATTGTGGGAGTGCTGGATGCAGTCTATTTTCATTTGATGTAAAGGAGGGGGATTTTTACAATACACTTGGAGCTCTTCACCTTCTCTTGTATGGTTTTAAAAGCTTTCCTAAGCTATCTTAGAGTCCTTCCGTAGTGCCTTTTAGATGTTGAATAACATGTCAGTGAAAGCTTTGGAGCGATAATAGGAGCCTGATAAACCTCAAGCACTTCTGTTGCTGTGTGTTCTGTTCCACTTCATCTGTTTCTTAAGTTTGGACACTAGCATGTGGACAGCTCTGTTACCTGGTTAAAAACTCACGATAAAGGTAAAAATACAGCCCTTAACCATTATTTCTGCTCTCTGACATGGCTGATGTTATTATTGCTGTTGCTGTTACTTAGTTTTTGAGAGTTAGCCACTGACACCTGCTGCCATGATGGGTTTTGTTGTGAGACAGAGCTGAAGCTCAACAGGGAGTGTGAGCATTGTGGCATGGTTACGAAAGCCAAGGGTTGCTCCTGGTTGGATTAGCATCTGCTTTAGCAAGGGTGTTGCAAAGAAGAGGGATAGCAGCCTCTTATGGTAAGGAATTTGTGGAAACAGAGGAGGGATCAGAAAACATGGGGTTTCATTACTTTTCTTGCTGGCATATCTACTTTTTCACTTACAGGCCAAAATCTCATGAGAGGATAGTTACAACTGGTTTGTATGTTGCTTCTTACAGATTTGCAAGCACTCTGCAGCTGCCATGCTCTGAGTGTTTGCATAGGAGACTGTGGTTATTGTCTGCTTTGCTTTATAATTTCTGCCTGGAAGAGGAGTTGGAATCTTTAGCAATTGTTTTTAATTTTTTTATTTTATGGATACCAAAATGCATGTGAGAAATATAGATGGCTCTGACATGCAGCTCGTGAGGTAATCCATGAGAAACCAGAAGCCGTAAGTTCAGATGGGAAACAGAGGTTCATCTGTGTCGAAGTATTAACTATTAATTGCCTTGCAGAATGAGAGAGGGGGAGCAACTCAGTAGTCACCTAAGGCAGCTTACTCCTTGGAGGTTTTAAAAAGGCTTTAAAATCCAGTGTCAAGTGTTTTGATCCATGCTTAGTGTTCGTTAAGATTTCATTTAGTCATTAGAGGTCTTGGTTTGAGAAAGTAGCACAAACTAAAATCATTTTTTTCTCAGAACAGAAGGAATCCTTAAGATGTAGCAAACTCCTTTAAGCAGAAATATATGAATATCAATGGAGAATACATGTCAAAATGCCAGGAAAAGCTTACTCATTCTTTTACGGCACCCTTCCTTGCTTTTGGGTTTCTCATCTCAACAGTGCTTGAAATCACTGTTCTGGTATCCCAGGGAAGTAGCTCTTCCCAGCAGCTAGCTGCAACCATTAGTAGACTATACCTCTGATGTAAAAAAGAAAAGGGACAGTATAAGACAGCTTGGTCCAATTCTGCTTCCAATCCTGCAGTCATGTGAGAAAAATGCCAATATCAGCACCCTGTAATAAAAAGGTATCTGGAAATCAAATCTGGTCATATTGTATTTGTTGTAAAGAGAAACGTCCTTCAACTCAGTTACTTCCCTAATTTTTTCCTGCTCCTAAACTGTAGTCCCATGATGTTTAGCCCTTCTTAGCTGGCATACAACTGCAGCAGCCAGCAGCAGCATGTAGAGGTTGACCAATTGGTTCCTTTGGCCTGACCATTTATATGCCATGGAGATGATACAAGAAATATCTCTTGAGAATGAAAGCTCCTCAAAGAAAGCTTGCAAGCTTGGGTACGTGACTCAGCTAATGGAAAGGAATTGTTTAATGTGTTAGTGTGCTAGAGGCTTTAGAGGGAGAGTTGTGCCAGTTTTAGAAAGGAGGGACTAAAGCGACTGAAATAATTGACAACAGAGACAGTCCATCATTTGGCATCCATCTGTCAAGGTGCTATCTAAGAGGAAACTGCAGCTAAAACAAGTAAGGCCTAGGCTTGTTGATTCTGTGATTCTATGAGGTGTTTTGTGTTTTAAAAACTATTCTCTGGCTTCACTAGCCAGTTTAGCCATTGTCAGAGCAGTTTAGAGGTATGTTATGTAAAATGTTTTCTCCCAAGCATCTGCAAACTATAAACAGTGAGGTTTTTTTACTTGCTATCTGCATAGGTGTTTTTGTACAATTGCTCAAGGATGTTTATTTTAAGGCTATCAAGTCAAGGCTGGGTAGATGTCTGACCACTAAACAGTGGCTGCCTTGAAACAGCAAGTTCTGTGTTATGTACTTAGTCAGACATGCTTCCCTGCCACAGAAGCTGCAAATCATGTGGACAGTGGCCACAACACTGTTATTCATGGCTGCAATTTGGATATATTCATTATTAATGCTTTAAAACTTAAAGTTGAAATGACATTGAAACCTGCAAACAGTTACTGCTCAGGTGTTTATGCTGGTCAACTGACCTTAATCTAAGAAAGATGAAGTGTGGTGAGGATAAAGTAACTGAACAAAATGATGACCTGGGAAGTTTTCAAGTCCCTGTGTTATGGTGGTTAATCATATAGTTAATCAATAAACCCACATACTACCAGAAGGGGATGAGAATATTAGCAGAGCGGAACATATTGAGAACATATTACATGCCATCTAAAGCTTTTTTTGTTGTTGCTGTTGTTATTTGGGGTTTTTTTGTGTTTAAAACAGCTTTGTTTCTGCTAGGGTAGAAAAAAGTCTGCAGTCAGTGCTATGTTCTTCTCTTCCTGAATTTCTGATCAGTTCATACTTTGAAGTAGAAAGCTATGGAGGTTGTTGAATGGTCACTGGCTGTGTATCTGTGGGGTGGTCCAGCATTTATGCCACATTCTAGTTTTGCCATTTTCATTGGGAGGATAAAAAGAAATAAGCAGAGCATAAGAGGGAAAAGGAAGGAAAAAAGTGACACTAAAGTATAATAAACTCTGCAGGGCAGATCCTCAGCTAGTATAAATTACCAAGTATATATCTCTATAG